TTTCCGAGAAATGATGGCTTGTGCCGCGCCGCGGTGGAGAGTGCCAAGCCGTCATTTCTTCGCCAAAAAGGCAGTGCCAGCCCTGCATTCACATGTAGAAGAGATGGTGGGCCAGTCTTTGAGCATGTCGGTCTCTGCCAAAGTGCACGGCAGCGCCGACGTGTGGAGCTGTAACTACGGTCAGGGACAGTACATGTCATTTACGGCCCACTGGGTGAACGTGGTGCCGTCACAGCCGCACCAGCAACTTGGACAGGTCACGCCGCTTTTGCCTCCACGTTTGCACGTCCTTGGTCCGGCAAAGATGTCCGCCTCTACCACCTCTTCTTCCGCCGTGTCCTCAGCCGCCACCCCCCGTGCCAAGTCCCATTACCCGACCGGCATATCACATGTGCAGGGCGCAACGGTGTCACGCTGTTCTGCACCTGGTATGCCTTGGCGAACGTAGTCACACAGGGGAGGAACTTCTCAGTGTAATGAACAGAGAAATCGACAGATGGCTGTCTCCGCGCAAACTGAAAATCGGAACCATGTTGACCGACAACGGAAAGAACATGGTGTCTGCTCTGCGTCAAGGAAGGTTGTGCCATGCGCCATGCATGGCTCACGTGTTCAATCTGGTTGTCAAGCGGTTCCTAAAATCCACCATCCCACTGCAAGACATCCTTAAAATGTCACGTAAACTTTGCATGCATTTCAGCCATTCCTACACCGCAAAGCACACCCTCCTTGAGCTGCAGCGGCAGAACGGAATTCCACATCATCGCCTGATCTGCGACGTTGCAACAAGGTGGAATTCAACCCTACACATGTTAGACCGCCTTTACGAGCAGCGAAAGGCCATCACCGATTTCCTGATGTTACAAGCGGGATAAAAGGTACTCCCCTGTGTAACTTCGATGTCAGCCATTGGCAGCTCATGCGTGACACACCTGCCGCTTGCTCAGGCCCTTTGAGGAGGCCACGCTATTCGTGAGTCGGCAGGACTATGGGATGAACGACGTCATTCCTCTGTGTTGCACGTCCTGGAACAAATGCTGTTAACAATGGCTGGTCAGGGTGCGGTAGACGTGGCGCACAGATCTCAACGCCACATGACCCCTGTGGGGGCAGGACAGGAAGAAGAGGAGGAGGTAGAGGAGGACATTTGTGCTCAGGAATTATTGAGTGAAATGGGTGGTTTTTCCACTCAGCGGACAGGAGTGGAGGAGCAGGAGCATCTGGTAGAGGAGGAGGAGGAGGAGAGACAGAGGACCCAGACGCACCGTGGCAGTATGCTGTGGAGATGGAGGCAGGGAGTCCCTCGCATTCCTTGGCACAAATGGCCCATAGCATGCTCGGTTGCTTGCGTAGCGACAGCCGAATAATAACCATCAGACAGAGGGATGACTTTTGGCTGTCCACCTTGTTGGACCCTCGCTACCGTTCAAAAATGGTGGCCTTTTTCACACCTGCTGAGAGGGAGGCCAAAATAACGTACTATAAAAAACCACCTATGTAGTAGTCAGTTGGTCTCTGCCTTTGTGCGCCAACGTCCATCCTCAGACACTGTGGGCCCTGTGCGCTCGCGTTCCGCTGCCATGGCAGCAGGGGAGGGGTGGGGTGGTAGGAGCAGTGGCAGCTCCACCAGCAGCGGCTGCCTCAGTCTGCAGTCGATGATGAGTAGCTTTCTTCACCAGCGCAGTGAGGAAACTACTAACCAGCAGCAGCAGCAGCAGCAGCATCAGGTGGACCTGGAGCAGGACCTCAAACAACAGGCTTGGGCCTACTTGGACAGCACCCTGCCAACCGAGGTAGACAATCCCCTTGACTACTGGGCAACGAAACTTGACCTTTGGCCCCAACTAGCTGAATTTGCCCTTGAAAGGCTGTCATGCCCGGCCAGTAGCGTGGCATCGGAGCGCGTGTTTAGTGCGGCAGGAGGTATTGTAACTCCGCGGAGGACACGACTGTCCACCCAAAGTGTGGAGAGAGACTCACGTTTGTGAAAATGAATCAGGCGTGGGATTAGTCTGGATTTCAAACCAGTTCCTGACACAACTGACTAAATCCGCCATGAATCATGCCTCAAACATGTGCCACTTTCAGGTCTCCTCACACACTGCTGGTGTGTTCCATTTTTTGTCATAGGGTGCTGGCAGATTACGGGCCTCCCATAGCTGCTGCCAGGCCCCTAATCTGCCATAGGCCCCTATATACCGCCTCCTCATGCTGCTGCCAAGTCCAGAGTCTCTCATGGGTCCCTGTACGGCCTCCCATTGCTGCTGTCTCCATCGCCACACTCTGCCATGTGCCACTTTCAGGTCTCCTCACACTGCTGCTGGTGTGTTTTCAATTTTTTGACATAGGGTGCTGGCAGATTACGGGCCTCCCATAGCTGCTGCCAGGCCCCTAATCTGCCATGGGCCCCTATATATACCGCCTCCTCATGCTGCTGCCAAGTCCAGAGTCTCTCATGGGTCCCTGTACGGCCTCCCATTGCTGCTGTCTCCATCGCCACACTCTGCCATGTGCCACTTTCAGGTCTCCTCACACACTGCTGCTGGTGTGTTGAATTTTTTGACATAGGGTGCTGGCAGATTACGGGCCTCCCATAGCTGCTGCCAGGCCCCTAATCTGCCATGGGCCCCTATATATACCGCCTCCTCATGCTGCTGCCAGGTCCAGAGTCTCTCATGGGTCCCTGTACGGCCTCCCATTGCTGCTGTCTCCATCGCCACACTCTGCCATGTGCCACTTTCAGGTCTCCTCACACACTGCTGGTGTGTAGAATTTTTTGACATAGGGTGCTGGCAGATTACGGGCCTCCTATAGCTGCTGCCAGGCCCCTAATCTGCCATGGGCCCCTATATACCGCCTCCTCATGCTGCTGCCAGGTCCAGAGTCTCTCATGGGTCCCTGTACGGCCTCCCATTGCTGCTGTCTCCATCGCCACACTCTGCCATGTGCCACTTTCAGGTCTCTTCACACACTGCTGGTGTGTTCAATTTTTTGACATAGGGTGCTGGCAGATTACGGGCTCCCATAGCTGCTGCTGCCAGGCCCCTAATCTGCCATGGGCCCCTATATACCGCCTCCTCATGCTGCTGCCAGGTCCAGAGTCTCTCATGGGTCCCTGTACGGCCTCCCATTGCTGCTGTCTCCATCGCCACACTCTGCCATGTGCCACTTTCAGGTCTCCTCACACACTGCTGGTGTGTTGAATTTTTTGACATAGGGTGCTGGCAGATTACGGGCCTCCTATAGCTGCTGCCAGGCCCCTAATCTGCCATGGGCCCCTATATACCGCCTCCTCATGCTGCTGCCAGGTCCAGAGTCTCTCATGGGTCCCTGTACGGCCTCCCATTGCTGCTGTCTCCATCGCCACACTCTGCCATGTGCCACTTTCAGGTCTCCTCACACTGCTGGTGTGTTGAATTTTTTGACATAGGGTGCTGGCAGATTACGGGCCTCCTATAGCTGCTGCCAGGCCCCTAATCTGCCATGGGCCCCTATATACCGCCTCTCATGCTGCTGCCAGGTCCAGAGTCTCTCATGGGTCCCTGTACGGCCTCCCATTGCTGCTGTCTCCATCGCCACACTCTGCCATGTGCCACTTTCAGGTCTCCTCACACTGCTGGTGTTTTCAAATTTTTTGACATAGGGTGCTGGCAGATTACGGGCCTCCCATAGCTGCTGCCAGGCCCCTAATCTGCCATGGGCCCCTATATACCGCCTCCTCATGCTGCTGCCAAGGTCCAGAGTCTCTCATGGGTCCCTGTACGGCCTCCCATTGCTGCTGTCTCCATCGCCACACTCTGCCATGTGCCACTTTCAGGTCTCCTCACACACTGCTGGTGTGTTGAATTTTTTGACATAGGGTGCTGGCAGATTACGGGCCTCCTATAGCTGCTGCCAGGCCCCTAATCTGCCATGGGCCCCTATATACCGCCTCCTCATGCTGCTGCCAGGTCCAGAGTCTCTCATGGGTCCCTGTACGGCCTCCCCCATTGCTGCTGTCTCCATCGCCACACTCTGCCATGTGCCACTTTCAGGTCTCCTCACACACTGCTGGTGTGTTGAATTTTTTGACACATAGGGTGCTGGCAGATTACGGGCCTCCTATAGCTGCTGCCAGGCCCCTAATCTGCCATAGGCCCCTATATACCGCCTCCTCATGCTGCTGCCAGGTCCAGAGTCTCTCATGGGTCCCTGTACGGCCTCCCATTGCTGCTGTCTCCATCGCCACACTCTGCCATGTGCCACTTTCAGGTCTCCTCACACACTGCTGGTGTGTTGAATTTTTTGACATAGGGTGCTGGCAGATTACGGGCCTCCTATAGCTGCTGCCAGGCCCCTAATCTGCCATGGGCCCCTATATACCGCCTCCTCATGCTGCTGCCAGGTCCAGAGTCTCTCATGGGTCCCTGTACGGCCTCCCATTGCTGCTGTCTCCATCGCCACACTCTGCCATGTGCCACTTTCAGCTCCTCACACACTGCTGGTGTGTAGAATTTTTTGACATAGGGTGCTGGCAGATTACGGGCCTCCCATAGCTGCTGCCAGGCCCCTAATCTGCCATAGGCCCCTATATACCGCCTCCTCATGCTGCTGCCAGGTCCAGAGTCTCTCATGGGTCCCTGTACGGCCTCCCATTGCTGCTGTCTCCATCGCCACACTCTGCCATGTGCCACTTTCAGGTCTCCTCACACACTGCTGGTGTGTTGAATTTTTTGACATAGGGTGCTGGCAGATTACGGGCCTCCTATAGCTGCTGCCAGGCCCCTAATCTGCCATGGGCCCCTATATACCGCCTCCTCATGCTGCTGCCAGGTCCAGAGTCTCTCATGGGTCCCTGTACGGCCTCCCATTGCTGCTGTCTCCATCGCCACACTCTGCCATGTGCCACTTTCAGGTCTCCTCACACTGCTGGTGTGTAGAATTTTTTGGACATAGGGTGCTGGCAGATTACAGGCCTCCTATAGCTCCTAATCTGCCATAGGCCCCTATATACCGCCTCCTCATGCTGCTGCCAGGTCCAGAGTCTCTCATGGGTCCCTGTACGGCCTCCCATTGCTGCTGTCTCCATCGCCACACTCTGCCATGTGCCACATTCAGGTCTCTTCACACACTGCTTGTGTTTTCAATTTTTTGACATAGGGTGCTGGCAGATTACGGGCCTCCCATAGCTGCTGCCAGGCCCCTAATCTGCCATGGGCCCCTATATACCGCCTCCTCATGCTGCTGCCAGGTCCAGAGTCTCTCATGGGTCCCTGTACGGCCTCCCATTGGTGCTGTCTCCATCGCCACACTCTGCCATGTGCCACTTTCAGTCTCCTCACACTGCTGGTGTGTAGAATTTTTGGACATAGGGTGCTGCCAGATTACAGGCCTCCTATAGCTGCTGCCAGGCCCCTAATCTGCCATAGGCCCCTATATACCGCCTCCTCATGCTGCTGCCAGGTCCAGAGTCTCTCATGGGTCCCTGTACGGCCTCTTATTGCTGCTGTCTCCATCGCCACACTCTGCCATGTGCCACTTTCAGGTCTCCTCACACTGCTGGTGTGTAGAATTTTTTGACATAGGGTGCTGGCAGATTACGGGCCTCCTATAGCTGCTGCCAGGCCCCTAATCTGCCATGGGCCCCTATATACTGCCTCCTCATGCTGCTGCCAAGTCCAGAGTCTCTCATGGGTCCCTGTACGGCCTCCCATTGCTGCTGCCAGGAGGCAGCAGGGTCGCAGCAGTGTCAGTGGAGGCAAACGGCCACGGAGTAGAGCACCAGCTCCACTGCAGCCTACCACCACGGCCAGTAGTGGTGCCGGTGTGCACGGAGGAAGTAGCAGTCAGCCAGTGAGGAGTAGCGGAGGCAAAGTTTCCTACTCTGCGGTGTGTGGCAATTTTTCGTCAAGCGCCTGAGGAAGTAAACGTAGCCGTATGTCGACTATGTGACCAGAAAGTCAAGCGTGGCCAGGGGGCCCATGTTGGGACTACAGCCTTGCGTCAGCATATGCAGCGTCGCCATTCGGTGGCCTGGGAAAACCGTGATAAAGATACGGCGGTTCTGCCTGCCCCAGCCCAGGGTTCCATTTTGTCATAGGGTGCTGGCAGATTACAGGCCTCCCATAGGTGCCGCCAGGCCCCAAATCGGCCATGGGCCCCCGTACCGCCTGGTCACGCTGCTGCTGAGCCCACAGTGTGACCTGGGTCCCTGTACGGCCTCCCATTGCTTCCACTCTGCCATGTGCCACTTTGAAATCTCCTCACACTCCTGCGGTTGTCCATTTTGTCATAGGTTGCTGGCAGATTACACGCCTTCCATAGGTGCCACCAGGCCCCAAATCGGCCATGGGCCCCCGTACCGCCTGGTCACGCGGTGCTGCTGAGCCCACAGTGTGACCTGGGTCCCTGTACCGCCTCCCATTGCTCCCACTCTGCCATGTGCCACTTTGAGGTCTCCTCACACTGCTGGTGTGTTCAATTTTTTGACATATGGTGCTGGCAGATTACGGGCCTCCCATTGCTGCTGCCAGGCACGTAATCTGCCATGGGCCCCCGTACCGACTCCTCATGCTGTGACGTTGCAACAAGGTGGAATTCAACACTACATATGTTAGACCGCCTTTACGAACAGCGAAAGGCCATCACAGATTTCCTGATGTTAAAAGCGGATAAAGGTACTCCCTGTGTAACTTAGATGTCAGCCATTGGCAGCTCATGCGTGACACCTGCGCTTGCTCAGGCCCTTTGAGGAGGCCACGCTATTCGTGAGTCGGCAGGACTATGGGATGAACGAGGTCAAATCGGCCATGGGCCCCCGTACACGCCTGTTCACGCTGATGCTGGTCCCACAGTGTGACCTGGGTCCCTGTACCGCCTCCCCCATTGCTCCCACTCTGCCATGTGCCACTTTGAGGTCTCCTCACACTCCTGCGGTTTTCCATTTTGTCATAGGTTGCTGGCAGGTTACAGGCCTCCCATAGGTGCTGCCAGGCCCCAAATCTGCCATGGGCCCCCGTACCGCCTGGTCACGCTGCTGCTGGGCCCACAGTGTGACCTGGGTCCCTGTACCGCCTCCCATTGCTCCCCCTCTGCCATGTGCCACTTTCAGGTCTCCTCACACTCCTGCTGGTTTCCATTTTGTCATAGGTTGCTGTATGGCCTCCCATTGCTGCTGCCTCCACCGCCACACTGTGGCTCCAAACACTGGTTTTGGCCCCGTGACTGGCCAAATGAGTGAAGTGTGCGGTGATTCTAAGATCGACGGCACTCATCTGCATGTCATACTGAGTGACAGTATTATTTCTCTTCCCCAGCAGACTCCAAGGGCATTTAAATTAAAGGTACAGTGTTCTGCACTAATATTAAGTCTCTCTGAAGCCTAGAAACACCCTTTTTTAAGTTAAATTCACAGCGAATTTATTCGACTCGAATCGAATATTGTCCACGAATTCGCCGAATCAGTCGAATCGAATTTTTCATTTCTTCGCTCATCTCTAATAACAATACATACAATGCAAGCGTAGTCAGGCAGGCCGGGTCAATAACAATTGGGCAGGTAGGAACAGGAGGAGCAGGCAGAGAGTAGTCAGGTCACGAGCCGGGTACAGCAACTAACGGGCAGGTAGGTACAGGGGGTCAGGCAGAGAATGGTCGGGGTCACAAGCCAGGGATCAAACAGGAGAAGCCAGAGGTCAGAATCAGGCCGGGTCGGCAACCAGTCAGTCAGGCAGGAACAGGAACAGGAACAGGAATGCAGGTAACAAGATACAGGGGCCCATGGAGAAACACACACCAAGGCCCAGACTGCAGGTCTGGCCATCCCTTAAATACACCTCCGTAATCAGCTTCAGGTGTTTGGCTGACTGCAGGGTTGAGTCTCTGATTGCTGAGAGCACCCGCTGGCCAGCCCTGGTACTGCAGCCCACAAGGCAGGTGAGTCCCACCATTATTGGCAAGACCATTCCTGACACTGCTCCTATAATTTGAGTCTCGAGTTGTTTGTTCACCTATTGCTAGTCCAAAAGGAACCCACCCTGAGGAGTCTAGTTAAAGCCAGAGAGTGTCCTCTGTTACACTGTGCACTAACACAAGTATCCCAAGGCTCACCCTACAGCCCAACCATGTTCAACGAACATTAAACCTCAAAAAAGACACTTACTGCTTGGTTATTGTGTTGTGAGACTGTGAAGCTCTTGTGTGCCTGTGAACCTCAGACAAAATCTGCAAGGCCAGTCTGGGGTCGTGTACATTTTATTAGGTACACCTGTTCAATTGCTTATAACACAAAGTTATAATCAGTCAATCACATGGCAACAAGACATGGTGAAGACGACATGCTGAAGTTCAAACCGAGCATCAGAATGGGGAAGAAAGGGGATTTAAGTGACTTTGAATGTGCCATGGTTGTTGGTGCCAGGCAGGCATTTCAAAAATTGCTGGTCTACTGGGATTTTCAAGCACAACCATCTCTAGGGTTTACAGAAAATGGTCTAAAAATGATAAGATATCCAGTTGTGTGGACAAAAATGCCTTTTTGATGTCAAAGGGCAGAGGATAATGGGCAGACAGGTTTGAGATGACAAAAAGGCAACAGCAACTCATGTCAATATAAACCAAAATCTCTAAGGAATGTTGCTGAATTGTTGAATCTATGCCACAAAGAAGACAGTTCTGAAGGTAACAGGAGGTCCAACCCAGTGCTAGCAAGGTGCACCATATAAAATGGCTGGTGAGTGTATAGTACAATTGTTAGGTGGGGGTATACTATTTAGGGCTGAAGTCCTAAAAGGGGGGAATTTCCACTATGTGTTAAAAAAAGGACTAGATGAAGGAAGGGGGCTGTCCAGTAGGTGGTACAGGCCCCATGATTTCTAATCGTGGTCCTGCTATTTTTGTTTGACCAGGAGACCACTGTTACTAAGGATGTGAGAGATGTTCTAAAATGTAGGAATTGTCACCAGAACAAGAGGTGAGCGTAAATCATCCAATTGAGATATCTATACTGGTGGAAGAGGGTAACTTTTTGGGGAAAATTCAGTTGTTGATGCCTATCTTTATTCAATTCAATGCAACGTCCTCCAACACCTTCATCTTCACTTACATTTAAAGGCAATTTTCCTAATATTTGCACTTGGTGATGTAAGGCTTGGATGCAGCTGCTCGGCCAAGGAAACCCATTCGATGAAGCTCTCTACACACTGTTGTGCTAATGTGAAGGCCACGTGAAGTTTGGAGGTCTTTAGCTATTGACTCTGCAGACAGTTAGTGACTTCTGTGCACTACACATGTGTACATAGAGGGGATTTCAACACCTGAATCCAATGATTTGAAGGGGTGTCCCAATACTTTTTACAATATAGTGTAGGTAGGTATGATTGTTTACTTCCCTCTTATTCAGGTATACAGGTTTAAAGAGTAACTCCACTCCATGTGAATGGAAGGGATTTTATAATTATCCATCAGTTGCTGCACCTGCAGAGTTCTAATGAGGAAAGGGTCTGCATCATTTTAGATTTCCCTTTGGGGGTATCTGACTAAAACTTAAATTTTTGTTGCAGAGGATGGCAAAAATATGTCTTGTAACTTAGTGCAGACCAATGGACCCTCAATGGAGTCAGCATCTTCTCCTGAGTGTCGTTCCTCTTCATTGACCAGCGGGGAATGACATCACTTCAGTGCATATGAAGGAGCTTTGTCATCTCAGCACTCAGAGACCGGCATAGCATTGTAAGCGTACTCCTTTGAGTTACTAAAGGCTGAATACTTACCTGTCCAATGGACCCTCAGTTGTGCTGACATTTGCTGCTGAGTGCCAATGAAGACAGTGAACAAGCGGGTAGGGGCACTTTATTGCAGAAGAGACAGTGCACGTCCTTTGTAATAAATGTCTGCCTGCTCACAATATTTTACAGCAGAACTTCAGTTCAGCTTTAAGGCCCACCCACCCTGCCATCAGATATATACAGTGCTCAGCATAAATGAGTACACCCCTTTTGAAAAGTAAGATTTTAATCAATATCTCAATGAACAGAAGAACAATTTCCAAAATTTTTACAAAACTGAGTTTTATAGAACATTTGTTTAGCTCATTACATGAAAGTAAGGTTAATAATATAACTTAGATTACAAAATCTTCAGTTTTACTCAAATTAGTTGATGAAAAAATGAATACACCCACAACAAAAACTACTCCATCTAGTATTTTGTATAACCTCCATGATTTGTAAGAATAGCACCCAGGCTTCTAGCCATGAAATGAACTAGTTGGCAACATATTGCAACATCTATCATTTTCCATTCTTCAAGAATGACCTTTTTTAGAAACTGGAAGCTGGATAGGGAGTGATACTCACCTTCTGTAAGGGATTTTCGACCAGACGAATGGCGATCGGAAATGCGCATAGGAATACCCGGAGAAGAATTGCCGGTTGTGCGCATGCACGCAGAAATGCGCGATCGTGCACGTGCACATGCACGGCGAAGATTGGCACCAGATGGCCTATTTAAAGAGTGTCTCTTCCCATGTTTAGTGCTGACTGGTCTTCAGCTCCCCCGTGTCCTGCTTGTTCCTGTGTGATTCCTTTGTTACTGACCCGGCTTGTTCCTCACCTGACTCTGATTGCTCTCCTGATTGATACTGGTTCCTGACTTCGGCTCTGCTCCTGACCTTGGCTTTCCTTCTGATTCTGTACTGTGCTGCCCAACTGTTGATGACCCTGGCTATTCCCATGACACTGCTCCTGTCTCTTGTCCTCATTACCTGCCTTGCTCTGGTGCACGCCTGGCAATCTACAAGACCTGCTTTGCTTGTTATTACTGTGCCGGAATCAGAGGGTCATCAGCCTTCCAAGGTCATCATCTGCAAGAGCTGCAAACAACAACCACTGGCGCTCTTGTCCACCTGGTCCCTAGACTCCCTCTGTTCCAACTCCAGTGGGGTCAGGGCTAGTGACACAAGTGAGGCCGACCTTGTCATTTCAGTCTCCCATCAGGTACAAGACACCTTGTCCCTTCAGAAATCCCCATAGGCAGTGTATGCTTTCTACTTCTTTAGCTAACTGCAGTGAACTTGCATGGTGATTTTCTTCAACCCTTCTCATCAGAAGATGCTCCTGACGAGGTGTTAATGTTGGCCTGGACGTCTCTGTGAGATGGCTGCAGTTCCATCTTTGCCAAAGTTTTGTATCACTTTTGCTACAGTATTCTGACTAATAAGTAAAGCTTTGCTGATCTTCTTGTAGCCTTCACCTTTCTTGTGTAAAGAAATTATTTTATTTCTCAGGCCTTGTGACTACTCACCTGTAATTGAATTCTTGGTAATTAGGATTTTGTTGTCTAAAAGCATACAAGTAATTCAACAAAACAATGGCTGCAACAGCACAGAATACGCATTCTGGGATGGCCCAGTCAGAGTCCTGACCTCAACCCGATTGAAATGCTGTGGCATGACCTTAAGAGAGCGATTCACACCAGACATCCCAAGAATATTGCTACACTGAAACAGTTTTGTGAAGAGGAGTGGTCCAAAATTACTCCAGATCGTTGTGCAGGTCTGATCTGCAACTACAGGAAATGTTTGGTTGAGGTTATTGCTGCCAAAAGAGGGTCAACCAGTTATTAAGTCCAAAGGTTCACATACTTTTTCCTCCCTGCACTGTGAATGTTTACATGTTATGTGCAATTAAACCATGGCAACATCTAATGTTTGTGTAGTATTATGTTCAGCAGACTGTGTTCTTCTATTGTTGTGACTTAGATGACGTTCAGAGCACATTTTATGCCCAATTCATGCAAAACTCCACGTAATCCCAAGGGGTTCACATACTTTTTCTTGCAACTGTAGCTTTGCTCCTAGGACTTTCATTGGGGTGTATTCATTTTTTGCAACATGGTCTTTAATTAATTTGTTAGGAAAAATACTTTTTTGTGTGTGCAAATTAAGAAATCTTGTTTGCAATCAATGGCCCACATTTGTGGGAGTATTTTGTAGTATAGTATCTCATAGAAAATGTTGATTCTGAAAGGAAAGGTTTTCTGACACATCTCTTGGGATGTACTCATTTATGCTGTGCACTGTACGTTTATGCAGTCATCAAGCGGCCAATGTTCAAAGCAACCACAGTAAATTGTCCTCTTATTCCAAAAGCAAACACACATTATATGCTGACACTGCTATATAAT